CCCCAAAACCCCAAAACCCCAAAACCCCAAAACCCCAGGTAAGAAAAGTATTATTGAATGGTTATGTTAAAGATGATTGTGATTTCTCTCCTCTGCTTTTATCATCAATTATCACTTCATCTCTCATGAATTCAATAAATCTCTTCATGTATCTTCCTGGAGGAACTGCTGAGATCTCAGCTCCTCTTCCTCTGAATATAGTCTTTGCATAGTGCTCGCTCTTCTTATCAAAATTATATTCTTGAAGATAATCGATAATAGCTAAATGATAGATATACTCTCCTGAGTAGCTAAGGAACCTATAAAGTATAATCTCCTGACAAGCATACCTATGTCTTGATGGAACGAATCAATTTGTTAACTTGCTAATTGCACTAGGGGAATTAGGCGCAGTAAACCTGGCTTTTAACTCAGGATCCTTTGATAGTTTCATCTCGTTTTCACTACAAATACTAGATGAAGAGAGATTATGAGTCCTATTTCTGTCTCTAGTTTCTGCCCTCAATTGGTACTTCTCAACAGCCAATAAGAGAGAGTAATCCATAATTTTCTGCTTGTTAAGGATAGCAGCATCTTTCTCAAGAATGTCGATCAGTTTAGCTCTATCCTGGATACTAAACTTACAGAGATTCTCACTTTTTCTAATTGAAAGAAGATTGATATCTTTTAAAGTTGAGCCAGGCTTGTACTTCTTCATGTTTACCTTAGTTTCTCTGTTGATCAGAGATCCTTTGAGATCGAAGAGATACTTTAGCTTGATTTCTTTCCACATGGGGTCTAAATATTTGCAACTTCTGACTTACTTTGAATTGTGTTATGCATCATTATCAAGTGGACGGTTTCTAATTTTTCTATTTTGACTGAAAATATGCCGTATATCCTTGCTATCAACGAGTTCTTGTGCTTCATCAGATGACTCATATAAGATTTGAACAATTTTATGAAGGTTTTATACTCTCCATCAGTCATTGTTTTGATGATAAAATTTCTATCATGAGAGAAAAAGAAGAATGAGCCAGATTTTCCAGATCCCTCTCCAGCCTTAAAAGCCATTTCTCGGTTATCATTGGGATTTAAGGATGAAATAATATCTTCATTAGTCACTTCATCTGCTCTCCTAATTCAGTTAAAGATATCGGGAGCTAGTTGAGTGACTTCGATGTCTTCAGTGATTCTAATAATTTTCTTGGGTGCATTCTTGTCCCTTTCTTTCTCAAACTGGTCTATTGCCCAAGCATCTGGATCTTCAATTTCTATTTCATAGTAGTCATTTTTCTCCTTAACTCAATATTTTGGGAAGTTAGCATAGACTTCTTCCCAAGGCAAATCGACACGGTCTTGATTTTTACAGTCATCTGTAATAGATTTCAAAATAATATGCACTAGCTCAATGTTAAGAGATGAGTTCAAGAAAGTTGAAATGGTGTCGTCTAGCTTTCCATGTTTCTCTTGCTCTTCATCTATAGTCCAAGGGATTCCATAAAACATGAGAAAAGTTCTTCTGCAGATAAAGATGAAATACGGCTCAAATCATCTTATGATAGCCATAATGAACCCAGTGGAGATTGTAGCCATTAAGGAAACAACTTGTGATGTTTCCATAAATATTTCTTCGTTTTCGTTTATCCAGATTTCTCCATAAATTCCATTGGGTAGCAAACTGTGAAATTTTCTATATCCTTGAGACTTAAGCAAGGAGTCATTTGCCTCGTTTTCGGGATCTCCGCTATTGATTTTGTAGAGATTTCTGTATGCTGATGAAAGAGTAATAATCCAGATTGTGATAAATCCTACTACATAGAGTATATGCTTTTTCAGAAACATTCTTTTAATATTATTGGATATCCCAGGCTTTGAGAGCATCCTCCCTGTATAAACAATAGAAAATAAAGCAATGACTATATACAAGCTCAGTACTATTGCAAGAATGGAATTATACCAAGTAGAAGCACTAGAAGCTCTAGATCCAGAATCTAAAGTGCATAGATTGAGAAGTCCAGCTGTTTCACCATTACTTTGGCTACCATAAATTCCGAAGCTGGTAATAATCGTTCCTGAAAAGATCACACTAGCAAGGAGGTAGAACTTGAGTCTCCTTGAGGCTGGATAAAATGGTTGCTTCAGTGTGAGATAAAGGTCTATGCAAAGACACATGTTCATTCCAAGAGATAATAGATTAAAAAATCCATATCCGATTAATCTATTAAACCCTCATAGCAGTATTCAAGACTCTCTTTTATTCTGGATAGGAGGGATATACATCGTATAGTAAAATAAATTTTGTAACCCAAAGAATTGGATAAAGTCCATTGGTTGTACTGCCCAAACAACAGTATGGAATGTTGAAATACCCTCAAATAGGGAAATAAACCCAATCATAATGTTTGGGTGAGCTTTCAACTTCTTCACTGAGAAAATGGAGAATGCAACAAAAACTCAGGCAATGATGGAAAATGTCCCTACAATGCTAAATGTTGCTCTCAAAGGATATGAGACTGTATACTTGTTCTCCCCTAGTATATCTGTTCAGAATCCGTTTGTTTCTACTTCATTAATATTTTGTGTACTACTTCTTTGCCAAAACTGTTGGTCTCCAAGGAGATCTGACGAGTTCATAATTTTTAATATTATAAGACTTACAATGCTGTCTCTCTTCCTGGGGTTTTGGGGTTTTGGGGTTTTGGGGTTTTGGGG